AAACCTCTTGCTTAAGGTAGCCCCATAGAAAGAAGTCCATCTGTGTCATATCTGGTGATCTAGGAGGCCAAGATATAGGCCCATCACGACCGATCCAACGATTGTTACTCCAGGTGTCCAAATAGTTACGCACACGAGTATGATATTGCGCAGGTGCGTCATCATGTTAGAAGTACATATGCATCCGAGATTGCAGGTTGACATCCTCCAAAATCAAATCTGTACTCTTAGTGGCAATATGGAACTAGCCCACTGTTTGTCTTTTGTTTCCATGGATGATGTGTTTTTTTCCTTAATTTTGGTGTGTTGTTCTATTAAAAACTTAATAACTCAAAATCTAGTGATTTTATCTGGATCAAACCTCATACCAAAAAAAAACTTATAAAAAATTGAATCCAAACTTGCACAAATATACAGGGTGATGCATTTGAAATTTTTGAGAGAAACTACAATTTGCGTTTTTGACCACCCTGTATGAGCAAAAACTAAAATTCGAATAAGTAACAAATAAGATAAAAGCTGAGGTGTGTATGTTTTTTTTTATACAGAATTCAGCACTTAAAATTTCAAAATGGCGAACTGAGGGGTTGCCGAAGTGGGGAGTTTTTCTAGACAATACACCTTATATCTCAGTAGCTCATTACCAAAACCCCTCTTTTGAATTGGTTTATCCAAATATGCAATAAAATTTGAGGCATTCCATTTGAAAAATCACAACTTTGATATGTAGGTCGAAATTGGGACACCCTGTGTAATGGCCAATATTTTAGAAATGTGCTCTCAAATGTCGTATATAACATGTCATAAATAGATTTTCCCAAAATGCATTTGTTTATGAGTAATATTCCGTCCACACATGGATGGGCCACCCTGTATAGTGAGCGATTGTCTTCTAAGGAATTGCGGTCAATAATGACGAATGCGTATCTATCAATATGGGAAAAAGGTCAATAAAGCTTACTTGCTATTTGTAACACGGCACGGCACGGTAAGAAACAACTGGCATTTGACGATGTCAAACGCAACACAAGCGTGAACTTTGAACGATTTTCGCCAAGCGAATTATTCCCATCCCCTCTACTCAAATAATTTGATTTCTGTGTAGATCCCGTAGTTTTCTATTCTGTTAATTACGGCTCGTTTATTTTCAATTAAAGCCGTAAATTTGCCGGTGAAACTTTAAAAGCTCGCCCCACCAAGTTGAAGGAGAAGTTCAGCTACTTTTGTTACCAATCCCTGAAAATAAACACGGTCTTTGTTCGGTTTCCTTGGAAGGTATTGGAGTTGGAGAAAAGGTGGAACGACTCTATCGCGTCTTTTATAGTAGGGGTATAAAACTAGAAACTTTTTGGTAGTTTTTATTGATTCGGAGGTATATGAGGTACCAAAGATCCTTGTGACAAACACGGTCTTACGAAAATATACGAATTTCTCACACACACATACACATGCAATACAGAAAATAGTGTAACAATAACTTCTCATTGGAAAATGTCATAAGAAAAGTTGTGCTTGAAACTATACTCAACTCAGGGTACTCAAGACAGTAATAGGCTATGTAATGAAAAAAGTATGTAATGGACGATGAGGTATCAGATGGGGACACTGTCACGCATCATGAAAAAGGGAGACAGCAGACCTGGAAAAAAAAGTGGCTAATGCAGAAATGAAGGTCAGTGAAAAAGATCGAAGAAAAACAGATAAATATATCCAACCAAGAACTTCTAATCCTTTACACTGAAGAAATAGGAAAAGTCGAAGCGTTGTAGTATCTAGGTAGCATTGTTAACAGTACCGGAGTCTCAGGACAAGATATTTAGCAACAGCTGCTAAAGGCAAACAGAACGTTTGGTGTCTGGTCATCGTCACTAAACTCAATCAGGACAAAAATACAATAATTCAACAGCAATGTAAAGTCGATTCTACTATATGGGTGTGAAACAATGGCAGTTACGAAAACTTCAACTTCTTATCAATTGATGTCTACTTACGGCTATACGAACGTTTTGACTTAGAACAATATCAAATGACGAACTGTGGAGAAAATAAAAGATGAGACAAGCATTTACTGACACAAAAAAAGAAGGTGGAGCTACGAATAGGAATGAACGAATCATCTCTATCTCTAGAGTGGAAAGACTCAGAGATAAATAAAGACACAGGCTAACATGGAGAAGAATCATGACGGATGAGGCAAGGCGAATGGGATCAAAACAATTGCAAAGAATATACCAGACTGGTGTTAGTTAGACAAGACGATGCAGGTGGGGACTTTCCTTTTCAAAAAACAATTACGTTTTAAATAATAAAGCTAATTTGCATTAAAGTAGCAGCAAAAACGGAAACAAGAAATTGCTATTCACTTAATGAGGAATTTCAAGTATAGCCTTGTCACATGTTTTGCCTGAAGCTTTTGACGATTCAAACATATAATTTTGTTTACCTCTTCCTAAATTTGTAACTTTTAGCGCTATCTAGGACTTCATCTGTGTCCACCAACGCAGCTTTGATGATCGAGGTCAACGTTCTGATACGGTATCCGTTGGATCTTGAAGACGTTCACAGTAAACAACACACCAGCTTCAGTTTTCAAAACACAAGGTGTAACCATGTTAATCTACACACCGCACGGCGCCTGATTTAGATGGTGGTTCACATCCTACCTTTTGATATAGGATGCAGGGTCGGTTATCTTAAGGCTTTTGTGTATGTATTACTATGAAAGCTTGCTTACTGTTGCAGGAACTATACGCTATGTAGAGTCCCAATTTTGGAGGCACCTTGTATATATATACATATACTTTTTTGCACTCTTTAAGATATCATTATTTCAAGCCAATTTCAAGCAGTGTAGAATGAAAGAACTTACAACATTAGCGAATATTCTGAAACAAAACCTTTAGTATATGTGGGATAGCATTCTCGTATAATTCTACTACGCATGGTACTAGTTTGATACGTTAAGATGGGCAAAAACCACCTAGCGCAAAATAGTTGAACACACATAAAACGAACTAAATGTAGAATTATGTATTGAATTGCGTTATAATTTTTTTCGAAGCTATGGAATACATTTTCAGTATGTGAGTATTTACAGCATGAAATAAGATCATGCTGAAAAATATTAAATCGATAAGTGAACAGCCGTTTGAGATTGAGGTAACATGAACGCACTTAGCTATAAATCGGGAACCCTGACATAAAGAAATGAAGTTAAATGTGAAATTGGAGAATTATGCGGACAATTTCAAAAGTGAAGGAAAACATTTACTTTATTGCAATTATTTTGAACACTTATTGCCGTACGTTACAAATGCCAGCCAAAATAATCTGGTATCCAAAAATACTTCAAATATGGTGGAGGCGCAGTTTTCCCAACATCCTTACATTCACCATAATATTGAAAAGTATTTGACTAGAGGCGCTGAGGCCTATATTTTGCAGAAATACATATAATTTGTCACCAAAGTAACGGAGAAGAGATTTGTTAAGTTCATTGCAAGCATCAGTGTTTGGTGCATGTTAAAAACACATACTTAGGCTTTCAATCAGTCTTGTATGGACCCAGTCCATGTAAGTACAATGTTAGTTCTAAACATGTATGGACCGTGTGTTGGTTGACGATGTAGCATTATCGTCGAAGTTTCAACTCATTGATTAATGGTATAAAAATAAAACACGCGCACAATATCTACAAATCGAGCTTCAAAATCATTTTCATTAATCAGCATTACATCTGCACAAATAACGTTAGATGTCTCAACCCATAGCTGTTCAAACGTTAGCTTCATGACAAAAAAGTCATAGCAAGAGGTGTGGCTATATTGTAGTGATAATCCGTTATAATAGTGTACATACAGGCTTACTACCTATCACTAAACCTTGTAAATACTGGACAAATCGTATCAGCACCTTCAATTTCTCTAATAACTTTGTTGCCTTATAGAAATTACTTCCCTTACTGTATATAATCTGTACAGTGATTGCTTGCTCATTCTCAAAAATCATTTTTTTTTTTTTATTTATATCATCTTATATTTTGACACAATCCTAAACATCGAAACGCACTATTTTACATTGTTAGTGTTGGTCGGAAAGCTGATTGAGATTTATAGATACAGGAGGCCTGATTGTTCTATGAAGCTTTCGGTTAATTTAGTTTTAGTTTCAGGTTCGTATCTCGGAGGGCAAGAAGCAATGCGTTTGACCTGGTACAGAGATGGCGCTGCCGTGCAGCAAGTCCTATTTATGGTTTATCGGTACACGTGCTTTACATAATTATACATGAGAAATTTCTAGCAACCAATTTGGGAATATTCTGGTTTAAATGGACTGTTACGGAGGTAGAGATATTTCTAGGAATGATTAACATACAAAATTGAAGGAGAAACGTTAGAAATAGTGGTGTGAATTGGGCGTTACAATTTTAGGGTACTTCGCAGAGAATAGGGATTAAGGTGATCTTCCAAACATTTGGAAGTGTTGCATAACTGAAGTTAGCGTGGAACAGTTGAGGTACTTTGAAGTAGGAATACGATAGGCAAATCTGTGGTGTTACTATGAAGAAGAACTTGGTACGAGGTTTACGAAAAATTAGAATTTACTAAACTAATGGTGGGGGGAGGGCGATCTGGCTGGCGTCACTTTTTTATTGTAGCAACTTTATTTGTCTTAGAATCTTATAGCCAAATACAAATGTCTTGGTGGATATTTTGCATATTTCTGGGAAGGTTAGTTTTTCCCAAATATGCTTGTTGAAGTTTCTAACGCATGCATGTGCTAGTTGATGTTTAGTATACACTTTTGGTGAACGACATAGTGTTACAATAGATAAATATTGACATTTAAACGTGAATGCGTTTCTTATGTAGAATTTCAGCAATCTTTAGCTCCATTGCTTGCATGTCCAGTGGAATTATAGGGCTCGATGGGATTTGTCTGGTATAGACTTAGTGATATACTCTGATACTGATAGTTTGATTTAGGGTTGATTAACGTACTGTGTGCTTGCTGTGATAGAAGTGGTGATCTCCGTTGGTATAGTAATCGTAGCGTCGCAGGGTGTTGGTTTGTGTGGCTTTGGAAGTGGCCAGTAGGCCGGCCGTAGCCATCAGGATGACGAGTGCCGCGAGCAGCGAAACTTTGCAACTGATGTAGAGGCGGGGGGCCGCTGCATGGGCCCGGGGCATTCTGTGGTGGTGGGACAGGCGGCGGCTCGGTGGTCAGCGTCAGCGACCGGGCGCATCGCTGCGATCGGCTGGCGCTGCTCCGAAGGCTGCTCCTAAGGCTGCCGATGGCGACTGTTGCGGCGGCTCCTGCTGGCCCCCCCGTACCCAGCACGACCTCCATCACTCATGTTCCTTCGCGGCCACGGTCGGTCGAGCTCCGGCCTCCCGCCCCGTCACCGGCCCTATCCGCGGGGGCCCAAGCCCCTGCCCCTGGGCCCACAGGCGCCCCCGACGCGAAGGCCCCCGCGGTCCGCACGGGCCATGCCACCTTCACCGTCTCTTCGCGCGACACACGAACGTCGACAGCTCGCGACTCCCGCACTATATCCGTCGATCGGCTCAAACCTGCTGCGGCTATATCCGTCGATGGCTCAAAGCTCGTCAGTCACTCTGCTTGCTAGTTGTGGTGGTGTTGGTGTTTGGAAGCTGGTGAGAGAGAGGTGTCCTCCCCGCCCGGGCCGAAGTTGTGCCGGCCGTCTCTCGCTCGCGACTGGCTCGTGCTGGCCGGCGGAGCGATCTGCGCCGGCGCCCAACAGATCGATACAAACGCGCCGGCAGTAAGAGGCCGCTTCCACCGAACCACGCATACACCGACCTCCGCTCGTGTGCCCCGTTGACACATTTACCAACGTTTCGTACATACCTGCTAATATCCGTCATATTGAACCACAAAAAAGATAAAAAGGCATTCGAAATTGTCCAGCTAGTCACTTAAGAGCTCCAGAGCCTTACTGTGGTGTGGTCACAATAGACAAGGATCAGGCGATGCTTAATTTGTCTGCCTGTCAAACCTGGGATCCACAGTATACAGCGCGTTTCGAACTTGTTAACAATTATCGACAGAGTTGTTAACTACAACTATTTAAAACTGTATTGACTCATACGCGTGATCAACACGTGATCAGAGCTCTATCCCGGCTTCCTTCCAGTACAGCCGTATAGCGTACGACGTATGTCGTTTCTGTGGCTTTGCGGTGGTCAACAGCACAGACAGAGATGGAAATAATGGCTGATTGTTCTCCGCCGGTAGAACCAATGAAATCAAAGACGCGCCTCGACCGGCAGGCTCATAGGCGTCGGCAACGCATTGGAACGTGTTTCGTTGAGCGATCGCATATTGTGTGTTTTTATAAGAATTGCTGTGTGATTGTTATTGTTGTGGTTTCTGTGGTTACTGTTTTGGTTATACTTAACCATGGAGAGTACAAATGGCACGAGTGGAAGTACTGAAAGCCAGGGAACAAGTAGACGGCTTCGTAAAGCACTGAAGATGGACGCGAAAGAAATCGTGCTCAACGTGTTCAATTATCTGAACAGAACTATGTCGCAGGGAGATGCACTCGCGCGTTGTGACAGTATGACAGGCGTTCCAGAGTGGACCATTCGCAGGGTGGTGCATGAAAAGAAGAAAACTGGAGCTACTACTGATCCAAAATTTAATTTGAAGGGACGAAATGCCGTTAAATTGGATGACGATAGCAAAATGGCGTTAAGGCGAACCGTACATTCATTCTTCTTTAGGAATGAGATACCAACCCCCAAGGCTGTACATGCAGCGATCAAGGAAAATGAAATTATACCCCAAATGAGCGTCGAGGTAATGAGGAAATCCCTGCACGAAATTAATTTTCGTTACGAAACGCGTAATCGGAAGTCAGTATTGATAGAGAGACCTGAAATAGTCGCCTGGCGTCGAAAATACATACGCGAAATGATTGAATATAGGCGACAAAGCAGAAAAATCTATTATTTGGACGAGACATGGGTAAATGCAGGTCACACAGTTAAAAAAACCTGGATAGACAAAAACGTAGTGAGTAACCGACAAACAAGCATTGAAGGTTTGTCAACAGGTCTTCGTGGACCGTCAGGGAAAGGTCAAAGATTGATCGTAACTCATATTGGTAGCGATAGTGGCTTTTTAGAAGAGTGTGACTTGATTTTCGTCTCTAAGAAAGGAGGTGATTACCATGACGAAATGAATGCCAGCTGCTTCGAGAGCTGGTTTCAAGGGGTGCTTCAGCGAGTTGAGCCCAACTCTGTGATCGTCATGGATAATGCTTCCTACCATAGTCGTCGAGCCGAACGTGTACCGACTATGGGATCTCGAAAAAGTGACATGCAGCAATGGTTGCGCGAAAAAGGAATCCCGTTTGACGATTCATGTGTGAAAGCGGAATTGTATGAAAAAATTAAACAGCACAAATCTGCGAACAGTAGTTACGTGACTGATGAGATGGCCCGTCAATGTGGTGTCACTGTGCTGCGGTTACCGTCCTATCACTGTGAACTGAACCCAATAGAGCTCATCTGGGCTCAAGTGAAGGATTATATTGCGCGCCATGACACAACCTTCAAATTACCAGACGTTAAGGTTTTACTTGAGACTTCCATACAGCTAGTAACGCCCGAAGCTTGGCAGAATGCTATCCGTCATGTTGTGAAGGAAGAAACAAAAATGTGGCAGCTTGACCACCACATCGACACCATCATAGAGCCAGTTATAGTCAATTTCAACGAGGAAAGCGATAGCGACAGTTTATTTCTGTCAGATGTAAGTGGAAGCGACGATGAATAAAGGTAATTCCCAAATTTTTGACTTACAATATGTTTCAAACCACTCTTTATTAAGCATGTGACAAATCTAGTTCACCCATGTTAAACATTCATACCCCGCCTATGAACAGCCGACTACTGGTAGTTAAGTGATGTTCACGTGAACATCGATGAGTCATTACAGTTTTAGATAGTTATAGTATAGTCAAAAAATCGATAAAATGACATTAAAAATCACTATAATGTCAACTTGTGTACTGGCTGGTCGCTAGTCCATGCCGCATGTTCTCGCTGTGAACGTCACCTATGGAGGAATGGCACAACGAAATATAGTATAAAACTTACAGCTTGGGCCACACAAGCTATAAATGTTCTCCTCTAGTGCCACCTCTGAAGTTGATGTTACATCACATCACGCTAAACCATATAGCTCAAGTGCCATGACGTGTATGCAACACGCACAGCTAATACGAGTGAACATGAAGTTCCAAGGTGACATTTTTTTCGAAAAAACGTTCATCACAACGTAGCCCCGCGGTGCGATCACTTTATTGCTTTTCGAAGAGCTAACCGCTGAGCGACATTTTGATACGTGTACACTGACAGCTGACAGCTGACAGCTTTTAGATCTACAGTTTTATAGGTATAGCTGTAGCCACCGTTCTTGGCGGTTACGTCATCAACGCGATATCAAATAAGTAAACAGATCGAGTCTCCGTACCATGGGCACAGACTAATCTTCAGCCATCTGCTACTCTCTCCAGTACGCACGAAGTGGGTAACAGGGAACCGCTGTTTTCATTCTCTTCCTGTAAATACTCTAATAAATTTAGCACGAGCTTTGGCTTTCTCCAGTGATCGTATTTCCGGGCAAAGTACAGTTTTATACTGAAGATTGAGAACAGGACAACTCAAATTGCACGCCGATGTCAAGTAAGTTGTCACTCTGACAAATATGATTGAAGGACACTCGTACGTAACGGCAAAGAGTTCGAGAGGAAGACACACAACTAAAAATCCTATGTCTTCGAGCTTACCGAACAAACGTTCGCACAGGGGTAGGTTGCATGTGTATGTATGAGGGAGATGGAGATAAATATACTAAGTGACATATAAATCCGAACACCCAGTTTAAATGGTTTTATTTTAATAAAATTTTCTATAAGTACTTAATGAAGCATAATAAGTAAATGATAAAAATTCCAAAATGATTGCACTACTTTAAAGCCCTTTGACCTTTAATAATGTGTGGATGCGCCCTGATGTGCTACGCATTCTCCAACGCGCCCAGGCATACTTCTGATCAAGTGGCCAATGACCTCCTGTAGTATCTCATTCCAGGCAACCACCAACTCGTCTCGAAGTGCTTCTAGAGTCTGAGGAGGACGTTGCAAATTGAGCAATCTACTACCCATCATATCCCACACGTTCTCAATTGGGAGATCTTGGTGGCCATGGTAACAATGTGACATCATTATTTTGAAAGAAGTCTATTGTGACTCTTGCAACATGTGGTCGGGCATTATCTTTTTGGAAAGTTGGATCTGCCAGGGTGTCAAGATAGCCTCTGATGAAGATTAAAGGTGACCTGGAACCATAAGCTATAGCACCCCAAACCATAACTCAAACAGTGTGATGAATATGTCTTTCAACAAAAAACTGTGGATTCCTCCTTTCACCACGTCGCCTTCTAACCCTGGCACGACCATCGTGCATGCCTAAACAAAATCGAGACTCGTCACTAAAGACAATACTGTTCCATTCCTGATCCCAGAGTGACCGTTGTCTGCACCACTCAAGGCGATTACGTCGGTGTTCTCGAGTTAAAGGGAGGACCCAGTGTGGGCGGTATGAAAACAAGCCAAAACTTCTCATTCGTCGGTAAACACTTCGCATGCCAATAGGTCTTCCGTGTTCTGCAAACCATTCATTTTCAATGGACCTGGTAGTGGAGAAACGGTCCCTTAAGGACAATAATCTTAGGCGGCGATCTTCAGGGTCTGTTGTTCTACGGCGGCTTCCAGTGCCCCTTGCTCTTTGCGTACGGCCTTCTCGAAGCCATGCCTGACAACACCTAACCACAGTGTCTACACTTCTTTGTACTCTAACTGCAATTGCCCGAAAAGAAAGTCCAGCTTCCCGAAGTCCCACTATACGGCCCCTATCAAACTCACTGAGTTGACGAAATCGTACAGGTCTCCGTACTCTAGGCATCCTAACCGATCGTAAAGGATGTCAAGAACCAAAATCCGCCAACGTTTATTCTTTACTGAGGCTGAAATATTCATTTTTAAAGCGTTAGTGAATTAAAAAAAAGCAGTATAAAAACCGGAATGTTCAACTGATAAGGCTGAAAATCTTTTCACTTGTTAGTGACAGTAAGATAAATACATTCACCAACTTTTATTAAAATAAAACCATTTAAGCTGGGTGTTCGGATTTATATGTCACTTAGTATAAATGGATACTGGTAGTCTTACTTTCACCAGCCAAGAACGGTGATCACAACTACGTATATAGACATTTAAACGAAACTTTACAACTCTGTAGCATGAAATGAACCTCTGCTAATTCAGTAACTAAATGGAAATTGTTTCATA